TTTTTTTTTTTTTTTTTTTAATTTATTTTTGGCTGTGTCAGGTCTTTGTTGCTGCGTGTGGGTTTTCTCTAGTTGCGGCAAGTGGGAGCTGCTCTTTGTTGCGGCGCGCGGGCTTCAGTAGTGGCTCGCGGGCCGTAGGCCCGTGGGCTTCAGTAGTTGTTGCGCACGGGCTTAGTTGCTCCACGGCATGTGGGATCCTCCTGAACCAGGGCTTGAACCCGTGTCCCCTGCATTGGCAGGCGGGTTCTTAACCACTGCGCCACCAGGGAAGCCCTCCTCTTCCATATTTATGTGTGAGTTTCTCTTTAACGTGGAGAACTAACAGAAGTGCAATTTGCAAAGGACAATTCACGCAGGGTTCCATCCACTCAGCCTGTCTACCAGCTTCCAGTAATTACACCTTTGTCTATTTTCTGAGGTCGTCGGGAGGCTGAGGGAATTATAAACTGGGGTACATTGATCTTACTCCTTCAGGCCTCGACCTCCTCATCTGGAAAATGGGTTCTCCACCTCTCTGGAACAGAAGGAGGATCCTGAGGTGCAGGGGTGGGGGGTGGGGGTGGGGTAAGGCATGGATGGAGTTAGTAAGAGTTCCTCCTCTGTCCTCACACACACCAGTGGGGTGGGGACATGTTCCTCTTGATTTTCAGAGCAGGGAGGCGATTTCCACAAGGAAGTGGAGGCTGGTTGTGCCTTGACCATTGGCTTCACTTAAACTCCAAGGGGCGGTCCTGGTTTGTTTCAGGAGCCCCAGAGACAGCCCCGGTATCCAGTGGCCCTGGGCCCCTGAGAATCTCCTTGGCCACCAGGCCCAGGTTGGCCAGCCTCAAGCCATGAAGGGAATGAGGCTCTGTCTAGGGCTGCAGCTGGACCCAATGGAAGCAGGTGGCTAGTGAGGGAGGGGAGACAGCCAGCTGCTCTCCGAGTCCTGCCTACGGCCCCCAGAGTCCCACCAAGCTCAGCCCCTAGTTCTGAAGTTAGCTCCAGTCTGTGTGTCTAGAGGCACCTGGCCTCCCTCTCAGAGCCTCGGTGGCTGCACCCGTGCAACAGCATTAAGCCTGGCACCTGCCTCACCAAATACTCTCAAGGATCCAAAGAGGTAGTTTTCCCGCCTGGCACATAGTAAGTGCCCAGAACATGCCATCTTGGGGCAGCCACTTTGGGAAATAGTTCCACAGACAATTAAACATAGAGTTACTGTAGGACTCAGTGATTCTGCTGCCAGGTACGTGCCCAAGAAAACTAAAGACACATTCACACAAAAACCTGTGCAAGGATGTTCACAGCAGCATGATTCACAGCAGCCAAAATGTGGAAACAGCCTAAATATCCATTAACAGGTGAATGAATAGATACAGTGTGGTCCATCCACACATGGGAACATCACTCAGCCATGAAAAGGAGTGAAGCACTGACACTCCTTACGACATGGATGGACCTGGAGAACACAATGCTCAGTGAGAGAAGCCAGGCATAAAAGGACACACGGTGTGTGATTCCACTGATGTGAAACGTCCAGAACAGGTCTCTATATATATTCTCAAACCATTGACTTGTACACTTTAAACAGGTGGACTTTATGGTATGTAAATTGCTTTTTTTTTTTTTTTGGCCGCGCCTTGCGTCTTCTGGGATGTGGGAGCTTAGTTCCCCCACCAGGGATTGAATCCAAGCCCTCGGCAGTGAGAGCGCAGAGTCCTAACCAAGGGACCGCCGGGGAATTCCCTGTAAATTACTTTTTATAAAGTTGTTTAGAAACGCAAAAACCTCCCTGGGCTCTGAGCCTGTCTTCCCAAGCTACCCAAGAGGGGAGGGGCCAAGATCACCGTCCAGCGCTACGCCCCCACCCCGGTGGGGAGGGGGTTTTAGAGACAGGAGAGGTGACCCTGACGGGGATCTGGGAGGCCGGACCAGACGCGCGTGCTACGCCCCTGGCCACCTCGCTGGGGCTAGCGCAGCTGGCATTCACGGAGCGCTCGCTGTCCGCCCGCCACCTGGCGTGGGCTGCACAGTAACTTTATTCCCACGACAGCCACATTGGGGGCCGTGTCCCCCTTTTGCAGAAAACCGGGCTTCGGATGCCTTGTTAGGCAGCGAGAAGAGCCGGGATTGGACCCTACGCCCACCCCTTGGGCTTCCAGGCCCGGCGCGGGGAGGATGATATCGCGTCCTTATTAGTTCTGGTCCAGTCAACTTCGCTGCTCAGATGGTACCCGGACCCTAGCGGGCCCGGCCCCTTTAAGAGGGGCGTGGCTTCGCGGCAGGCGGGAGCCGGAGGAGGCCGGAAGTGCGCGTCACGGGCCTGTAGGGTGGGTCCGCGCGCCAACCGGAAGCGGAAGTGGCCACGGGCCGCGGTTGCGGGCTGAAGGCTTTCCGCCAGGTGAGGTGGCGGTCGCACTGGGAGCTTCAGCGGGAAGCTGGGGCGTGGGTGGAGACGGAGGCTGAACCCCCTGGCCCTGTGCTGTTCGGCCCTGGGAGGAGCGGGGTAGGACGGGCTTCCCCGGGAGCGGGGTTCCGGAGCGCGTGTAGGTTTTGCTGGGCGGCAGGAACGGCCCGGTCCATGCTCCCTTCTCCCACCTGCAGGGATGGGCTCCAAGGCCAAGAAGCGCGTGGTGCTGCCCACCCGCCCGGCGCCCCCCACGGTGGAGCAGATCCTGGAAGACGTGCGGGGGGCACCCGCCGAGGACCTAGTCTTTACCGCCGTGGCCCGGGAAGGTAGGGGGAGCCCAGGTCGGACGGGGGAGAGGCGGCCCAGAGACCGCAGCAGGAAGGGGCGGGGGAAGCGCCTGGCTGCCTTTAAGACATACTGGCAAAGTTAAGTAGTAGGACGGAGACTGTCTGGCCCTGCAGTGCCAAAATACGTAGGTCTGGCCTTTTGCAGAAAACGTGTGCCCACCCCTTGTTCAGAAGGTTGGTAGCACATCAGTCATACAGTTGTAGGGTGAATTTCGTGTTCCACTCTGTGAGGTTCGTTTATTCATTCAACAAACCTTCATTAAGAACCTGTTGTGGGTCAGGTTCCGGTCTAAGCACTGAGGTGGATAGGTGATCAAAAAAGATGGAAGTGCCTGGGACTTCCCTGGCGGTCGAATGGTGAAGACTCGGCGCTTCCACTGCAGGCGCCACGGGTTCGCTTCCGGGTCGGGGAACTCAGATCCCTCCTGCGGGGCGTGGCCAAGGCGGCGGGGGGGGGGGCGGGGAGAAAACCTGCCTGCCCTCGGGCCATTCTAGTGGGTAGAAGCATTCAATATGTAAGGCTTGTGGGACGATAGAAAGTGAGAAACGCTTTGGGGCTTTGTTTTTTGTTGTTGTTGTTTGTTTTTGGTTTGTCTTTGTGTCTTTTTTTAAAGTTGAAGTATAGTTGATTTACAATGTTTTCTTAACTCCTGATGTACAGCAAAGTGACTCAGTTATACATACATATACATTCTTATTATTATTCTTTCCCATTATGGTTTATCACAGGATATTGAATATGGTTCCCTGTGCTCTGCAGTGGGACCTTGTTGTTTATACATTTTGTATATAATAGTTTACATCTGCTAATCCCAAACTCCCGGTTTGTCCCTTCCTCGCCCCCCCCTCCCCTTTGGCAAGCACAGTTCTGCTTTCTATATCTGTGAGTCTGTTTCTGTTTCGTAGATAAGCTCATTTGGGTTGTTTTTTTTCTTTTCTTTTTCTTTTGGCCACGCTGTTTGGCATGTGGGATCTTAGTTCCACGACCAGGGATCGAACCCATGCCCCCTGCAGTGGAAGTGTGGAGTCTTAACCACAGGGCCACCAGGGAAGTCCAATTTGGGTAATTTTTTTTTTTTTTTTCGGTACACAGGCCTTTCACTGCTGTGGCCTCTCCCGTTGTGGAGCACAGGCTCTGGATGCACAGGCTCAGCGGCCATGGCTCATGGGCCTAGCCGCTCCGCGGCATGTGGGATCTTCCCAGACCGGGGCAGGAACCCGTGTCCCCTGCATCAGCAGGCGGACTCTCAACCACTGCGCCACCAAGGAAGCCCCTTATTTTATTTTTTTTATTTTTAAAAATTTTAAAATATGTATTGATTAACAAATATTTATTGAGTATATATGGTGTACTGCTATAAAGTGAATGGTGTTTTTTTTTTTTTAATTTATTTATTTTATTTTTGGCTGCACTGGGTTTCCGTTGCTGCATGCGGGCCTCTCTCTAGTTGCAGCAAGTGGGGACCACTCCTCGCTGCAGTGCACGGGCTTCTCGCTGAGGTGGCTTCTCTTGTTGCAGAGCATGAGCTCTAGAGCGCGGGCTCAGTAGTTGTGGTGCACGGGCCCAGCCGGTCCACGGCGTGTGGGATCTTCCTGGACCAGGGCCTGAACCCGTGTCCCCTGCATTGACAGGCGGATTCTTAACCACTGTGCCACCAAGGAAGCCCTGGGTCATATTTTAGATTCCGCATATAAGTGATATATAGTTTCTGTCCTTCTTTTTCTGACTTACTTCACTTAGTATGATAATCTCTAGGTCCATCCATGTTGCTGCAAATGGCATTATTCATCCTTTTTATGGCTGAGTAGTATTCCATTGTGTGTGTGTGTGTGTGTGTGTGTGTGTGTGTGTGTGTGTGTATACACACACACACACCATATCTTCTTTACCCATTTATCTGTTGATGGACATTTAGGTTGTTTCCATGTCTGGCTATTGTAAATAGTGTTGCTCTGAACATTGGGGTGCATGTGTCTTTTTGAATTAGAGTTTTGTCTGGCTATATGCCCAGGAGTGGGATTGCTGGATCATATGGTAGCTCTATTTTTAGTTTTTTGAGGAGCCTCCATAGTGTTTATTGTTTGTAGACTTTTTTTTTCCTTGGCTGCGTTGGGTCTTCATTGCTCTGCACAGGCTTTCTCTAGTTGTGGCGGGTGGGGGCTACTCTTCGTTGCAGTGCATGGGCTTCTCATTGTGATGGCCCGGGCTCTAGGCACACGGGCTTCAGTAGTTGTGCTTTGCAGGCTCAGTACTTGTGGCACACAGGCTTAGTTGCTCCGCAGCACGTGGGATCTTCCCGGACCAGGGCTCGAACCCGTGTCCCCTGCATTGGCAGGCGGATTCTTAACGACTGCGCCACCAGGGAAGCCCCGTTTGTAGACTTTTTAATGATGGCCATTCTGACTGGTGTGAGTTGATACCTCATTGTGGTTTTGATTTGCAGTTCTCTAATAATTAGCGATGTTGAGCATCTTTTCATGTGCCTGTTGGCCATCTATATGTCTTCTTTGAAGACATGTCTGTTTAGGTCTTCTGCCCATTTTTCGATTGGGCTGTTTTGTTTTTTTTTGATTGAGTTGTATGAGCTGTTTGTATATTTTGGAGAGTAAGCCCTTGTCAGTCGCATCATTTGCAAATATTTTCTCTCATTCCATAGGTTGACTTTTCGCTTTGATGGTTTCCTTTGCTGTACAAAAGCTTGTGAGTTTGATGAAGTCCCATCTGTTTATTATTTTATTTCCATTATTCATTTATTTATATATTTTTGTCTGCGTTCGGTCTTTGTTGTGCCACATGGGATCTTCATTGAGGCACGCGGGCTTCTCTCTAGTGTGGCGCACGGGCTCCAGGGTGCGTGGGCTCTGTAGTTTGTGGCACACGGGCTCTAGTTGAGGCGCGCAAGCTCAGTAGTTTGCGGCATGTGGGATCTTAGTTCCCCCATCAGGGATCAAACCCTCGTTCCCTGCATTGGAAGGCAGATTCTTTACCACTGGACCACCAGGGAAGTCCCAGTTTTGCTTTTATTTCTGTTGCCTTGGGAGACTGACCTAAGGAAATATTGGTACCATTTATGTCAGAGAATGTTTTGCCTGTGCTTTTTTCTCGAAGTTGTATGGTGTCATATCTTATATTTAAGTCTTTGAGCCATGTTGAGTTTATTTTTGTGTATAGTGTGAGGGAGTGTTCTAACTTCACTGATTTACACGTGGCTGTGGGACAATTTTTTTTTTCTTAATAGTAAAATAAAAAATTCCGTTCTTTGTTCCATGTAGCCACATTTCAAGGGCTCAGGAGCCCCTGGTGGCTCAGCCGGAGGGCGTTTCCATAACTTGGAACGTCGTGTTGGACGGGGCAGCCCAAGGAACAGGAGCTGTATTTATCCCTGGCCTGCGGCTGGGTCTTCAGAGGCCACTTGAGCCCCAACTTAAGGATCCTGGGCCCAGTTCCCCCATGAGCAGTGCCGGGGCCACTCGAGGGCGAGGGGCTTCCCCTGCCGGCCTGTGTTCACATCTAGGACCATACCTGGCCTCCGTGTGCACTGTCTGGCCTTTCCCACCTTGTTACTAAAGCAGATAAAGTGATTTTTAGTTAAATGCCAGCGTTTCTGGGCCTCTTTGTAGACAACCAGGCAGAGCGGAGGGGACCTTGACGTATCTCCAGGTGGCCCTGAAACCTGTGCTTTTCCTGCCCTGGTCCCCCCATCCCCCCGCCACGCCCTTTAGGAAGCGTGGTCGTTGGGAAATGTGCGTCCATGCCCTCCTGGCCTCCTCTCACTTCCCTGATTGCTGAGAGCACAGGTGAGGCCGGCCGGCTCATGGTCAGGGTCAAGGCCCTTTCCAGGAGCTGGAGCCCACCCCCAGGTGGGGCCGAGGGACAGTGGAGTCTGGCCTTTACTGTGACCTGTCCCCTTCGGTCCACTGCTTTCTTTGGGGGGTAAACTGAGTCCCCTGTGTGGCCAGCGGGCAGTGATGCTGCCGTGTCCTGTCCCCAGACCCCCCAGCCCCCTCTGGGAGGGCCGAGGACACTGAGGCCCAGCGGGAGCAGCTCTACCAGCAGAGCCGGGTCTACGTGGCCACGAACCAGCGGCTGTGGCGCGCGGGCGCCCAGCTGAAGCAGCAACGTGAGGAGCTGTGGCGGGCACGCGAGGAGCTGGAGCAGGAAGTCAGCCACGTGGGTCAGGTGGCTCTGCCGGGCACCGTGGCCGCCACCTCCCTGGGCTGACCCGGCTCCCCGGGGCCTCGGGGTCTCCGCTCGACACCTGGCCTGGCGCACCTCACCTGACACCTGGCCCCTTGGTCCCGGAGCCAGGGTCCAGGCTCTCTGTTCCGCGGCCTAGGCACGCCTGGCACCCAGAGACCCCGGGGGACACAGCCTGCCCAGGGGGTGGGGCTGCCTCAGCCAGGCACAGGCCCCTCCCCGAGGGTGGGGTCCGGGTTGTGCGCATGCCCCTCGCCCTGAGGAGCCCTGACTGGACTTCCTGCGGGGCCCAGCCCCCGAGGGCCCTCCGTCCATCCTCCCTTCCTTCCTCTGGCGACCCTGCTTCACTGCCTCCCCCATCAGGCTGAACTGGTGGGACCCACCCCTCTGGTTCTGCCATCTCCGTGTGAACTGGGGGGCCCCAGGGGTCCCAGAGGAGGGTGGGGAGTTCAGTGTCCTCCCTGACGCGTAGTGGCTAAGGTTATGTGAGGAGCTGTGGCCCCCCCAGGGCCCAGATCTGAGATGGGGCCTCGTGGTGGATGCCACCCCTCAGGGCCCCCGGCACCCCGACCCAGGGCCTGGGCGCTCCCCCAGGGCACTTGTCTGTCCGTCAGCTGTGGGGTTCTGTCACATGGGGGCGCCATGAGAGGACGTGGTGGTCAGTCCACTGCCCCGGGCCATCACCCAGCTGCCCTCCTGTCCGTACATCTTCGTCTGTGGACAGGTGGGTGGTGGGGCAGGAGAGGATCTTGAAAAGATCCCTAAAAAACCCATCCCATGAAGACCAGAGAAGCAGTAGGCCGGCGGGAGGTGGCCCCGGGGCCAGGCCCTTCGTGGATGAGCCCATGTCCCTCTGATGAAATCCCTGTGTGTAGCTGCCTGAACAGTGCCCCCACAGACCACTCCTTTGCAGGGTCCCCAGAAGCTCGGGGCAGTGCTGGGACCCAGCACGCAGGGCCCTGACAAGGGAGACCCGGCGCATCCCAGGAAGAAAGAG